CCACCCCCGAGCTGAGTGCATGACCAATTACACATATCAAACTAAAATTCCAAGAAAAAAAGTCCAAAAAAAAGTCCAACATATCAACAAAACTAAATTACATGAACATTACAAAAAAGAGCCACATAGTATCCAATTAGCTCCATCCACACATCAAATCAGATTGAAATTAATCCAGAAAACATGGGCATCGCGGTTTCAGCCAAATCAAATGCATACCAAATACACATGAACAAAATGAGAATCAGGATAACTAAGATTCCAGATAACAAAACTAAAATCAAATGCCCATAACAAAAGGAAACCCCAATCAAATCAGTTGCGACCCATCAAATGCATAACAAAAATAAACCAAATCAAATCCAATCAAGATCTATTAGAAAACAATAATCAAATCATAGAAAATAAAAGGAAGGGTACCAAATGAGGAGCACTTGTTGACACCTTCAAGGGTAACAAGAGCAGTAAGAATGAAGACAAAAGGCAACAAGAAAGCGAGGATGAGAATGGTATGGAAAAGCGTCCTATATGAAATATGTCTGGCTGCCACCTTGATCTTCATTAAGTCAATAAACCCATTGTTGCTCGATATCGTTATACTTCTCATGCTAGGCGAGACGTGAAGCTGCATCCTTCTCTATGCAGCCCCACCACAATTGGACAACTCTTCTCCCCTCTCTCAAAAAAGACACCACCTTTCTTCTTATTATCAAAACCAGCAGCTGCTGCTCCACAGTATCTCTCTCTGCTCCTCTCCACACCCAATCCTAACCCCACCACCATCAGATCCAACCCTTTTCTCTTCTTTTCTCGATTCAAGCTTTGCTTTTTTGATCGGGGTTACCTTCAAAACTCTCCCTGCTCTTGTTGGTCTTTTTAACAAAGACCTCCACTGCATTGGATTTTTAACACCTACCAAAAAATATTGGTTCTATTTTCTTTTTCTTCCCCCCTTTTTTTTGGGTTTTCTTGTTCAAAGAATCAAATTTGGGGGTTTTTGAAATCTGGGTTTTGATTATTAAAGCTTTAGCTTGGTTATTTTTTGCTCTGCCATGGATCAAGAAAAGAAAGAAGAGAGGGAAAAAAAAAAGAAAAGAAAGAGAAACTGGGTTTTTTTTTAATTTTTTCTGTTAAAAGAATGGGTTTTTTCTCTTTCCTCTTGGGTTTCAAGGAGCTCTCTCATTGGTGGATCAACTCATCTAATTTTCCCTTTTTTCAGAAAAAAAAATAAAATAATTATAATTTAATAATTTAAAAAAAATGATAAAAAAGAATATATTTTTTCTAAAAAAATGAAAAAAATGAGAACTTTGATGAGTCAATAGCGTGTTGGGTTCAGAGAGAAAAAGATGGGGATGGAGTTTGACCTTTGAGAGAGAGAGAGAGAGAGAGAGAGAGAGCAAAGCAATAATCTTAGAGCTAAATTTAGATGTCTTCTCCTAAGTTTATGGGCAAGCATTTGCTTTATATGTGGATATTATTTTCTTAATTTTACTTTTAAAAACAAACACTTTTTGAGTTTGTATATCATTCCAATTAAACCCGAAGAGTTTTTGTAATTATGGATTTTGTATTACCAACCATTTGCCATTTATTAAAAAAAAATCCTAAATCATTTTAGATTTGTGAGCAAATTGGGTTAACAAAGAAAATTCGAATTCAATTATTTTTATTAAGATATTAAAGAGTTTTTAACTGTTTATTTTTCCTAACAAGTTAATCCTTTTCTGGATGAGAGTTCACTAGATTCAAAACAAATTGTTAATATCTTATTATATGTTTCAATTTAATTGTCAAAATGTTTGTAATGTCATGATATTTTCTATGATCACATTAGAACTTATCCAAACTTTGAAAAAAGAAATAATGGGTAAAAATTTAGACTCCCAAATTTATCACATTCACCTTGAGGTTATCCTTGTGGTGATCGGATAAATTTTGCTTTGGATCTTCATGAATTTGTATACAAAACCCAACATAATTGAATTAGTGAAGATTATATTTCTTTAAAAGTTTTTTGTGAATATGACTCAATTTGATTGCCAAGTTATAAGCTTGTACATAAAACGACACAACTTTCTGTGGGTCACATGCAACCGACACCTGGGAATATAGCATTAAGTTTTAGACTTTTTCCAATTTTGCTACAAATAATTAATTTAAATATATAAAAAAATTAAACATTCTTTTTTGTCAATGGAAATTTTACAAATGTTTGTCAATTCAATTATGGCTGACCAATTCAATAACAGGGTTCTTTTCCCCCTTTTTGTTTTAACTTTTTGAATTTATTTTTTATTCGAAAAGGAAATATTCAAATCAAATTATTTGAACACCAAGTGTATATATGTATATAGATTTATGTTTAAAACAACAACTTCCATATTAAATAAAAATCTTTATGAATTAGTGATGTAGGAATAAATTATAGTATAAAATTCATGGCATTGCTTAAAAGGCAGAAATATGTCTTATTCATATAGCAATTTTGGTGTAAACATTAAAATGACCCTTCATTGCTCTATTAATTTCTTTATTATGAATATGAATTATGAAGAATAATGACACATGGATTGGGTTTTATGTATTTTTCCCACTGTTTAAAGAGTTTTCTAGACTTCAAAAAAAAAAAAAGAGGACAAATAACATGAATAAGAAAAGAATTAGTCAATTAGGGGAGGCAGCCTTGTAGTATGTAGACCAAACAAATGGCTTAGCTAATCTCCTCCCATTCACAAGGAATGCAATCAATGTTGTTGTTGGAGAGGCACCCAAGAACTTTCCTTTTTCTTCTAGGGTATATTGAATCTCATTGGTCTTTGATTCTTGGGTACCATTCTATAAACCCTATGTCTTTCTCAATGATTTAAAGTCACTGCCTCCTAATTACAATCTCAATACCACCTTAATAATCACAACTAAAAGAGAAAGAAAACAAACAAATATTACAGGTTTAAATCTAAATATTTATTTACATTAATATGTATGATTTTAGGTCACAACTCATATAATTTTAAAATAACTAAGAAAAATTAGTACACGATAACGATAATAATGAGAAGGTTGTCGGATAAATGATTATGCCTAACAACATTTAGCTAGTGTAATTTTACATAGAAATCAACTCTTAATCTTGTTCAAAGCCGGCTAACATGAATAAAACCAACCCATTGTTGACCAAGATGTTCAACATTGTTTTAAATCTTAGGCTGAATTGCACATTGTTTTGACATTAAGCTAAAAGTCACAAATATTGTGTTTATAACTAATTATTACATTTAACTATTTAACAGCCTTCTTCCAAAGTTAGGTGACTTTAGGCCAATTGATTAACCAAACTGGAAATAATTATGTTTTTAAGGTATCCTTTGCACTAAACATGTGATTAACGTAGCGCTTTATAAGGGCAAAAGGGTTCTAGTTCATGTTGGATTAGGCTTTGTCCCAAGATGGATAACAGAATTTGGGACAAGGCCATGAGGGATGATCTAATCTAACATCAAATATTATACTGTTCTCTTTTTAAGTGGGCCTGTCAAAGAGAATCTCCTAATTGGTTAAAAGGCAATAGCACATGCCATGTAGCAGTGAGTTGGAGACAGTGGGTTTAAAAGCTCAGATAATGAATGGGTGAATCATTCTAAAAGCCAAGATGTCAAAGACCCCAAAAGTGGATCAAGTACATGGAAACAAGGTTACTTGTACACATTCAACTCCCAACTAATGCAATGCCTGTTCACTGTCTTAATCTATTTGTTTTTGTCCCAAGTTCAAATTCCCTGGTCTGCCTGCCAGAGTTCCTGTTAAAGGCTCCATAGTTTATAGTCCAACAGCTTAAAAAGAAATAGTATTGTTTTTGATCATTTCAATAATATAATCTAGAAAAGGTGAAATGGAAATTACATGTATTTCAACTATTTGATTGGAGTAATTTTGAATGACACAAGTTTCTAGAACTTGGAATACCATCATGGTGAACAGACAAAAGCAAAGAGAAATTTTGGGGCTCTCTTGAGAGCAACTAATCCCTTTCAAGTTGTCACTATGTTTGCTTTTAATTCGGGGGAATACTTGGGACAATGATTGATAGATAGGGCTATTATTTCAACATTTCTGATGAGAGATGGAACTTTAAGGTATTCTATTCTCATATGCAAATAATGACTCTTTTCACCAATTTATGGCATTTTTTTCACAAGTTCCATCATAAGATTGCAACGTTGTCACAGGTATTTCCAAGATTTCTGTTTTGGACATGATCCTTATACATTTAAAATGCTCAAAAACAAAATAGTCAATGCAGGTTATCCATCAAATTGGAGGATAAGCATAAATCTAAAAATAGATTAATGTTAAAGCAATAATATGCATAACTTTAGAGGAATGCAATGAAAAAAAAAAAAAGAAAGAAAAAGTTAGACTAAGCCCATGAAGTATGCTAGAATGTATAATATCCCCCAACCTCATCACACTGAACAAACACAATGATGTAAAGTGACAGAAGAACATTAGAGGTTCATTTGGTATATAGATGAACAAATAAAACAAAAAATCAAGACAACTATATTAAGAAGTCATACTATAACTTGAGATTTTTTGTGAAAAATAGGTTACATCTGTACATTTGACATATGATGTTGAGATATATCATGGAGAACTGACTCAAAGAACATGGCTCACCCATAAACCCAGGGGAAATTCATTTCTGCTAGGAAGCATAATCTACAGTTTCTGTTAATATCCAGTATTGGAAGGCCTACCCGGTATCTTGAGATTCCAGAATAACAGCCACGCTTGCAAGTGAGGCACCTGAATTAATCGTTATTAGATTTTCTTAATGAGGTTTAGCCCATTGTAAAGAATAAAAGAAAACTCCTAACAGACTGACAACAATTTGCCCTTCTCCCTGTATGATCCTGATTACAGTTGACGTGACTGCACCATCATAGAAGTATTAAGAGGGGGGGGGGGGAGGGGGGGGGGGGGGCAATACTCACTAACCCATCTGAACAAGTCTTCATGTATAGTTCTTGTTTGCATCATGGTGATTTAACACTGACTTTGGCATAGGATATAAATTTCCACTTTATGAGTATAATTTCAAGCTGAGGAATTTAGGCATTCAAAATGATAATCCTTATACCAATTTATGATATTTCTGACCTCAATCAAACTGTGAGCTGGTGCTTTCCGCAATCCAATTTCGTTAACTATATGTCTTATATTTTCTGCATCTTTCCACCTTCCAGCTGCAGAATAAATTTTTGCCATCAACACATAGTTTCCAGTGTTTTCTGGCTCCAGCTCAAAAAGCCACTTTGCAGCTATCTCCCCTAGCTCAACATTCTCATGTATTACACAAGCGCCAAGCAATGCACCCCAAACAGCATGACTAGGTGCAAGTGGGATTGTTTTAATGATATCATAAGCTTCATCTAGCCTACCAGAACGACCAAGAAGGTCAACAATGCAAGTATAATGATCAGCTTGAGGGCTTATTTGGTGGTTTCTAAGCATGAGTTTGAACAAATCTAAACCCTCATCCACCAAACCAGCATGGCTGCAAGCATGCAGCACAGAAGTGAAAGTAACTTCATTAGGCTTTACCCCGGCTCTAACCATTTGTTTGAAAAGTGAAACAGCAATCTCACCATGCCCATGTCCTCCATAACCAGCTATCATCACACTCCATAGATAAATATCCTTGTTCTCATTGGGTATCCCATTAAATATCTTGTGGGCAGATTCTAAACTACCACATTTTGAATATATATCAACCATTGCAGTAGCAATTTCATTATTTGACACTAATCCAGACCTTAGCAGGTAAGAATGCATGTTTGTTGCTTGCTGCATATCTGCACAGATGGCATATGCAGGTAGAAGACTCTTCAAGGTAGCAGCATTAGGTTTCATTCCTTCTATCAGCATTTCTTTGAAAAGTTCCACTGCTTCCTTCCCAAGCCTATTATGTAAGCAGCCAGAGAGAATTGCATTCCATGGAACTGTATTCTTTTTTGAAGTATTCTTAAAAACTAAGAAGCTAAGGTCAACACGATTGCATTTACCATACATATCGATCAATGAAGTTTCCACCATAACACTATACTCAAGCCTTTGCCTTATCGCCCAACCATGCAAACACCTGCCATCCATTAGATTCTTTGACTCACCACAAGCTGAAAGAAGAGATGCTAATGTAACCGAATTAGGTCTCACACCTTCAAGTACCATCAACAGGCAAAGTCTCAATGCAGCTCTCACATCACCATTCAAAATACAGACATTGATCAATGAAGTCCAAGTCACCACATCCCTTTCAACCATCCCATCAAAAATGAACCGTGCTTCCTTCATACTCCCACACTTTGCAAACATATCCACCAACGCATTCCTCACCATCATTTCCTCCCCCCAACCCTTCTCTTTCACCAACTCATAAACCCTTCTCCCCACCTCCAATTCCTTCAAAAATCCGCAAACTGGCAAAACCGAAACCACAGTAGCACAATCCATTTCCAACCCATCATCCATCATCTTATTAAAAACCCCCAAAGCTTCCTTAGCACATCCATTTTTAAAGTACCCACTAATCATTGAATTCCAAGAAACCACATTAGGCTCCCACATAGTATCAAAAATTTTCCTTCCTTCCTCTTTCTCCCCACAATTCATATACATTGTCAACAAAGAATTCATCACAAAACTGTCCTTTTCAAAACCACCCATCAGAACTCTCGCGTGAACCACCCCACCAAAAAAGACCAACTTTTCTTCGCCAACAGCCATAAAAACAAAAGGGTAAGTATAGTTGTCTGCCCTACATTTCCCCAAGTTAACCATTTTAACAAACAAATTTAGTGTTTCTAAATAAAACCCATGCTGTGCATACGTTTTTAACATCATGTTGTATGAAAACAGGGCCGGTTGAGGCAATTCATCGAACAGTTTACGAGCATATTTCAAATGGCCGCAGTTGGCGTAGGAAACGGAAAGGCTTGAGCGGAGATTGGGGGAGAGGAGGCCTGATGCTATGGCTAAGGCATGGAGCTGGGTGGTTTTGGTGAGGGCTTTAGTGGCTGCATAGTGTTTTAAGAGAGATTTGTATTGTTTGCCTTTGGACAAGGCAAGAGACTGGCCATTCATGAAATCTGGCTTTTCCGTTGTGCTAGTATGTTTGTTTTGTCTGAAAAATTATGTTTCCGTATAAAAGTAAAAAATGAAAAAGTACCATGTTTAAGTATAAAAGTAAATAATATATAGTTGAAATATTTAAAATATTTTTTAAAAAATAAATATACAATTTTTATTTTATACAAAATAATTATGTCATAATTAATGTTGCAATTTAATCACTTTGTTTTCTTGAATTTTAAAGACATTTTTAGTTCATAAAATAAAATAAAATAACTATTATGTCAAAATAAAATAAAATATAAATAAATATTATCATTCATTTTAATATTTATTTAGTAAAAATAGCTTTAGAATAACAACAGAATAAATGGTAAAAATATAAAAAAAAAATTTATAATAATATTTTATTTTTAATTTAAAATATTTATTTTTATAATTTATTGAAAGTATTTTTTTTAAAAAAACCTTTAATATGATTATTTATTTTATTTATTAAAATATTAAACATTTTTAATTTATAATTTTTAAAATATTAATATGATTACTTTATGTTATTAAAATGACAAAGTTTATCAGGAGTGAAGACCACATGTTCATGTCCTCATCGTTTCTCACCTGTTTCCATGAAGAATAGCGTGCATTTGATTTACTCAAGTTGATGGGCGGCTTCCATTTAAACTACCAAAGAGAACCTTTTCTCGTCTCCATCAACAGGAGAGAATAGGTTCCATCAAATGCAAAGTTTAGTTGCAAACTTGATCTTCACTTCTAAGAAACTTTGTTGCATGCGTAATATACAGATGAATTTCTTTAAATTAATATTTTTTGATATCATAAAAATTTATTAATTAATTAAAATATTATTTAATTAATAATTTATTAATTTATTAATTTATACATCAATTAAGTTTTTCTTATGTTTAATTGAAATATAAATTAGTTGTTTGACATCACCCTTCATAGTGGAGTCTATCTTGCCTTGATTCAGGTCAGAGTACCCTCCTTATGTAGGTAATGACCTGTGCATGGTGATGATTCCCGGTGAATTCGAAAATTGCTTATTTCATGTAATATATATATATATATATATATGTATGTATGTATATGCATTCCTGGCATCTTGCAACTGATCAGTTGGGTTGAATATCTCTTTGCTTATGACAGATGAAATAACCACCATCTTTGCATTTTCCCAGACAAGAAGAGAAGAAAACAACCTGTTGGCAGATGTGTTGGCCTGAACCAAAGGTAAATATATCTGCCAGGTTTTGGCTCAGAATCATTTCTTAACCTATAGATCTAAATTTAGTGATGTAATCATCACATATGAGATTAATAATATGATTATACCTTCAAATCTTGTCTTGTTTCTCTTTTGATGGCATGGGTAACAAATCCAACCCGCTTAGAAATAGCAGGAACACTCAGGGCCATTTCATGTGCTTGCATCATGACCTCATCTCACAGGTATCCTTGATTCATTGGTGAAAAGCACTAGGAGTTAAAACTTATGCTCAGACCCTCATCTTCAACTTAAGGGTTTATGTTCTGAGGTTCCCTTGTGAAGTGTAATACTAAGACATGATATTTGACAATGTTACCTTGGAATTTACTGAGAACATAGAATGCATCGATAACTATTGACTCTTCCAACATAAACTCAAAAAATTGACAAACAAATAATCATTAATCTTGGCTGCTGAACCAAATCCAGTTTGCTGCAGAACAGCTTGAGTATTGCAGAGCACTTGAGAGTTGCAACCATGAGAGAACTCTTGATTCATTGGCTGCAGATGTTAGAAATAGGAGTTTATTGTTCAACTTAGTTGTACCTACAGAAGCAACAAATCTCAAAGTGTTGCCTCAGTGGAGTTTCCGTTCATAAGTTCATTATATGGCTATTCAATGCCCAACAAGTGCTCTGAGATTGCCTTTTTCAGCACAGAAGAGAGAATTCCAGGAATCATTTACCAGCAAACAGATAACTCCCGTAAAACAAAGAAGGACTACTTGATGGAAAAGAGATAGAACCTTCAATGTCCTTTTAGCTTTTCACATCACACTTGCAGAGGAGAACAAAGGACAATTACAAAGTAGTCCACTCATTACTGTGGCTAAGTAGTTCATACGAACAATTATCTGTACACAAACCTGTAGTAGACTAAGATTTAGAAAGAAAAATACCATAATCAAAATCCAGTTGGAATATTATTCCAAATTGACAAGTCTCTCTAGAGAAAGAAAGATATGTCAAGAAATCACAAAGCACTGACCTTTACATAACTGATTATTGGAAATCCTAATAATAGTAGACAATCGCCAATACGTTATGATGATGAAGCAAGGCAGGCAAAAAGGGTAATGAACAAACTCATCAGAGAAGAAACATACTGACGTGATCTTAATCTCACTGCTCATCACTTCCTTTTTACCATCCTTGGCCAAACCTAGAGTACTATAACCCATTTGCTGGATTCCAAAAAGGTGAAAAGAAACATAGGCTGAGACAGAAGGCGATGCTTGGCAAATGGTTTGTTGGGAGTGACTGTTCTAAATCAATGACCATAATCCATAATTGAAAGAAAAAATGTAGAGGAATAGCTTATTTTTAAGCCGCTCAGGTGCCAATGAAGCCACGAGTTAGTACTTCTAATAATGAGAGTATGAGAGGTTCGGGTTTCTTCAGTGGTATTCACTGTATCTGTTTACAATTGAAAAACCAACAAAAAACCAATTCCATGATTGAATTTTATAAGGAAAATCCAATGGATTGAGATGACAAGGATGAATCTCACAATTGAATCCTATCAAATGAGATGTTTGATATTTAATATGGAGAGTAAATCCCGATTCATGTACATATGAATGACTATCCTTATAAAAACCCGTAGCAGCCATTCCATCATTGACCAAGGTTGGACCAGGTAATAGTTATAGTGTGGCTCAGCCTATAGCAAAGCACTTTCTTACTCACGTGGATTATCCACAAATTCCAGGTCACACTCAAACACACATCATCGTACATCTCATACGGCTACTTATACTTTGTAATGAACGATAAAAGAGTCCCATGAAACACACCCAAACCTTTACACCTCCAATCCCAGTTACGTCAGTGCTCCTCCACTTTCTTAAGTGTTGCGCAAACCCCAAGCCGTCCTGCTCATCCACAGCCCTCTCAGAACCCACAGAAGGCCATGG